AAAATAAATAAAGATAAAACAAAGATCTTGACAAAGAACATATCATCAAAAAAAAAAAAAGAAGAATTGGCGGAAATCTTGGAGATGCAAGTTACGAACAAGGTCAAATATTTGGGGATCTTTTTAAGAGCTAGAGGTAGTACTCTCAAAGAGGATAACTGTTTTAGATTGAAGCAACAAATCACAACGGACTTGATGAAATGGGAAAATCTACAATTATCAATGATCGGGAGAATCTCAACAATTAAAATGAACATTTTTCCTAGAATCTTATACTTGTTCCAGACAATCCCAATTAGGTTGGGGAAAGACTATTTTGAAGATCTAAATAAAATGGTTGAGCATAGACCTTCAGTAACCTATACCTTTCTCAAGAAATGGGAGTTCTTGCTTAAAGGTTCCGATTGAGGCAGGATTGACACTCATTGGCACCTAGAGCCACCTGGAACCTCTCGGACTAAATGGTCATTTTGTTAACACATACTAATAGATTGTTGTTCAGAGATTGTTGCTTTTTGCGTTTGTGGAGAGAAGAGGAGAGAAAAATGTAAACAACCCTTAACTATAATAACAACAAAGATTTGTTAGAGAGAGGAAATATAAGATGTCCCACTAATTGACTTTACTTTTTCTTTATTATTTTTTTATTTTCTTATTTTTAGAACATGTTATAAGGATATAGAGATACGGCATATTGACTGGAACTGGGGGAAGGGGGAAAAATGCTAACAGGTGGCTGTGTTTTTGAAATCTTAACTAAATGAAAACTGTGATATGGTGATAGTAAAATATATAATTTTCTAACATGTACAATTTAGACAGAATGGAATATATGTGACCATGGACAGAACGCACGAAACGTACTTGTGACCAATGGATACGCTTCCTACAAGACGTAATGACAGATGATTTTTTTTCTCCTTGTGTGTGTGTCTTTGCTTCTAATAAAACTGATAAATTTTTTATTAAAAAAAAACTTTTTTCTTAAAAAAAATAACTAGTCCTCAAAGTAAGAATAAAGCGGCGAATTTGATACTTATTGGACTGCTACTAGAAAATTTCCTGCTCTAGTTTGTAACGATGTTTTGTGGGTTGAAGTAATTGCAACATTTCCTGTCTCCTCGCTTGTAGTCTATGGACTCATATTTTTTTCTCTATTTTTTTCTTTTTACTACCCTAATTTTTTCTGTTGGCTAAATTAAACTTCTTCTCTTACTTCAACAAATTTTTCCTTCTATTGGTTAAAATTATATTAAAGATATCTAAGGGAAAGCATTAAAAAAATAACAACTGACTAACTATTGAATCTGCCACCTGAAAGCCAAAGTCTGAACTTTGTTTCTGTTTTGGATACCATGTATCCTTTATTCTGCTTCATTTGGTTTTACTGACCTTGCAATGGAAGGGTTTTGGAATTCGCTTATAAAACCTGATAAAGACTTAAAAG